AAAGTGTGGCCACCGCCGGACGGAGAAAATGGGCGCCATTTTGAGATGGGCCAAGCGGCGCGCGTTTAAATGGGAGCCCAAAATACGGACTTTTGGACTCGTATTTCGTGGGTTAATATTGCTCAAAAAAATCGGGGAAAATTCCTGTGAACTCTGTGCACTCTCTAGTTTCCAAAAATGCAAGAATTACGAATTGCTGAACAAGCTCATTTTAATTTTTGGAACTCCTTGGCTTTGATTTCCCCACGAAATGGTGTGGACCCAGCACCATTTCTCCACCTTGTTATATATATATATAACTAAGCATGGTTCTTCACTGCTATGAGGTCTATGTCAAGTTTCATTTTTGGTGAAAATCGGCCCATCCCCTAGTTCAGTAACTTGGTAACTTCAAGGTCACTGGGGGATGATTTTTCAAACTCGTCCGATCTTAGTCGATTATACCTCAAAAAAATCGTCTCGTCGTGGCCTTCCATACAACCTATATTCACCTACCCTCGAAAACCACCCCTTATCCAGAAAATCTCAAGTCCAAAGGGGGATGAATTTTCGAACTCGTCTGATCTTAGTTGGTGGTACCTCAAAACACTCGTTTCGTCGTGACCTTCAAAACAACCTATATTCACCTACCCTCTAAAACCGCCCTTTATCCTGAAAATCTCAAGTTTAAGGGGGGCGATTTTGGACCAGTCAGGCTTATTGGGCGCAACTGTTTTCATAGAAACGATTTGTCGACTGTGGCTGGAAAGCGTTTTTTTTTTAAACTGCTTGAGGGGCTAGATCACCCTAGCCCCTCATGAGTGAAAAAAAAATATATATAGAGGTTATACATCCTGATAAAGATTTGAATGAATTTAACTGTTTATTGTGATTATAACATTGATGATGGAGTCGTATAGTTTCGGATTTGAACACTTTTTTGTTTTTCAGTCCTTAGAAAATCGATGCCGTGATAACACCTCAAGAGAAGGAGGACCTCCTGCTTGGGCACCTTTTGGGGAAAAAATAAATAAAGATTCTTTGAAGGTATATCTAATTTTTCTTCACCTTCTTTCTTCCTCTTACCTTTGGTAGCAGTCTCATTATGTTATGAAAGGACTATGCTGGGAATACCTTTGGCGCCAGCTAAATTTTATTACTATTTGATGCTGTGTTCCACACAGCTCTCTGAGCTAGATGAGCTCTCAAAATGGAATTCTCTAAGTAGGTACCAACGTCTGTTCCTCCCAGTTATTGCACGTCAACTAGGAAGGGGTTGAGTCTTAGATAGTAAGTCCTAAAAGCTCCCTTACTTTAGTGTGAGAAGATCATGAATGTAACTTCACCAAGTCATTAAGATGTAGTGACACAGTATCCGTTCTATTATAATCGTTTGAGCAATTCTCACAGCGCTAAAGATCATGAGAGTAAAGAATGATTTTAATCGAGTTCTAAAGCACATAATTCCTAAACACTTATTTACAAAGAAATATAATAGTTATAGTTTCCATATATACTATGTGCTAACGAGATGTTGGCTTTAAGATATCTGCATAAAAAGTGAATCGATTAATGCAACTTTTTAAAAAAAATTCATTGGTCGCAACACTATATCTGCCACCGTGTAGTTAGAATAGAAACAGTTACTGGCAATAGCTTCAAACTAACTGATAAAAGTAAAAAAATTGACCTCAATGAGATGTCTTAGAGTATATTTCAATTAATCAAAGAACTTATTCAAGAGTTAAATCCATCATCCCAAATCTAACTGATTAACCCATCTGAAACATAAAATTGGGTTTATAAACAGGCAAGATTTTTATGATGTAATCCGGACCTCCTGAGAACGGAAAGAATTGCAGTCACTTTTCCAGCTTATCTCTCAATTTAATGGTCATTCCATGCCCAATCAGGCCAAGAGTTTCACCTGACCCCTTTAGATTTTAGTGAAACTTAGTGCTTTCACTCTCATCACCTAAGTTAAATACAGGGACTGTCCCTCAGAAATCTACTTGGCCCCTCCAAAGAAATGTGAGGGATTTTGCTAAGTGAGTGCTTTACATATCTTTCATCTTTGAAATTGCAATTGGATCATTTTTTCGGTGGGAGCAGATCATAATTGCTCCTGAGACGCCTCAATTTTTCCAAATTTTTGTAGGGGAAACCCTTAGACCCCCTTTAGATGCGAGGGAAATCCCCTAAATCCTTCATGGAGTCCTTTTGTGCCTCCCCCGACCCCCTTTGATGAGGTTCCCTCTAGGCCCCCCTCCTCCACGAAAAGCTCCTAGCTCTGCCCATGACCAAACCTAGCAAAAACCTTAAATTTTCAGAAAATTAGACAATGTGGGCAACAGTTTCAATTTGTATTTTTGAATCTTTAAGGTAGAACCCTACTACTGTAGTTCAGAAAATCGCCATTACGTGGCGCTTCGCCGAAATCTGTCGTTTTTTCCATGTTTTTCGATGCATCTGGGCGATTTGTTCAGACACAAGCCAGACTTGCGAAATTTTCTTAACGTTATTACAAGGATTATAGTATGCTCAGTAGTCATAAACAATCAGTTTCTTTCTGCGATCATCATTTGCGGAGAAACTATGCGTCACGATCGGTGTCTAAATCCGCTTTTCTCAATGGAGTATTGTGATCTTTGTTTGATTTGTGGCACGTCCGCGCGCGCGGGCCGTTTGAATAAGCCCAAAAAAGAAGCTTCTCATTACGGCGTGCACATTTTCGGGTACTAATTTTCATTTAAGGTTAACATCGATTGCAGCTGCATAATCCTGAGGATATGTACTTTGTAGTGACATTAAGACAATTTTAATATATTAAATCCTGACTTCACAAATTAATGAAAAGTGACAAAAAATGGCATGATTTGAGATCAGCGACTGTGGTGTCATCTCCTAGAATTTTTTTTGAGAGCCTTATGTAGGGTTCCACCTTAAAACGAAGTCCACTGGTCATAAAAATACCTGTAATAAGACATCCTCACATTTCGACAAAAATATTTTCTGGTTAACTCAATTGAATTTCCAGACCACCTTCAAATTAGAAATTTAATGCTAATCATATCTGCCTATTAATGTAACACTGCCCCTCCCCCCTCCCTCAAAAAAGTCTCCACGCCTCCTGATGAAACTGTAGGTACTTTTTGTTTCAATATATAGAGAGTGGCCTAAAAGTCTGTAACCCCCCCCCCCCGGTAACTTTTGAACGGTTAGAGACAGAAAAACGAAACTTAGGGAATGTTTCTATCTCCAAGGAGACCATCTTCAAGGCGGGTCAAAATTTTTACCCCTCCCTCAGAGGGGGGCGGGGCGGCTGGGGGTCCCCAACTTTTTTTATTTAAAAGGTAAACCCTATCTTACATCATTAGAAAGAACGTTAAAAACTGAGAATTTTGACACAAACCGCAGATCAATATCTTAATTTTTGACCGAGTTATAATAGGTCCAGGGTCAACTTTGACCTATTTTCAAAATATCGTAGTTCTGGTTGAAATTATCGTAGAGAAAAAAATAAAACGGGAAAATTTAGCTAATTGTAAGCACTTTTAAGTGAAAATCATAAAAATCACCTTAAACAAATTTTATGGGGGGATTTGGACCCTCAAATACGTCAGTTCAAATGTCGGACGATTTTTTCGCGGAATAAGCCGATTTTCCCCAACTTTGCCTTAACGTATCTCGGTAAGTTCAAAATTAGTTCAACATTGCGTTTTCAAGGCCCCTAATTTCGAGGGGAAGTTAAAAAAAAAACGATAATGAAGATGAGTAAAGGAGGGGTATCGATAAGGGCCATTTTTGGCCCCCTCCTAGAATCTGGAAATTTATACGGGTTTTCCAATTTGACTCAATGTAGTTTACGGAAATAATCATGATTTAGCCCATAAGCCACTGGATCCATGTTAAACGGTTGCCTAATCCTAGGTCTGCAGGCGTATTTTAGCGAAAATTCGTGTTTTTCTATCACTCCGAGGCTTTTTTGACACCGAGCGCATTGTCTAACTAAAACGAGCTTTTGATATGTTATCAAGGGGGCTTTAGAACACATTTTAACCCTGGTTTGGTTTTATTTAGATGATGCGCTCATAGTTAAAAAAATTGTTTACAAAAATCGACGTTTAAGGGACATCCGCAAAAATCTGAGGGAACACGTCTCTCCAACTGTATGCACGCTACGTATATTATCGAGGGCACTTATTGAGCCTTGTAAAACCCTTAAAAGGAGATTTTCTTTAAGTGTAGCCAAAAAAACCCTTACCACGTACTTTCCCAAGATTTTTGCGAATGTCCCTTAAACGTCGATTGTTGTAAAAAATTTTTTTAACTATGAGCGCATCATCTAATTTTAACCAAACCAGGGTTAAAATGTGTCCCAAAGCCTCCTTGATAACATATGAAAAACTCGTTTAAGTTAGACGATGTGCTCGGTGTCAAAAAAGCCTCGGAGTGATAGAAAAACACGAATTTTCGCTAAAATACGCCTGCAGACCTATGTTTAGGCAACCGTTTAACATGGATCCAGTGGCCTGTGGGCTAAATCATGATTATTTCCGTAAACCACAATGAGTCAACTTGAAAATCCGTTTAAATTTCCAGATTCTAGGAGGGGGCCAAAAAAGGCCTTTATCGATACCCCTCCTTTGACTGTCTAAATTTTTTTTTTTTTTTTTTTTTTTTTTTTTTTTTTTTTTAACTTCTGCTCGAAATTTGAGGCCTTGAAAATGTAATGTTGAACTAATTTTGAACTCGCTGAGATAATGTTGAGGCAAAGTTAGGGAAAATTTGCTCATTTTGCGGGAGAATCGTTTGATCTTTGAACTGACGAATTTGGGGGTCCGAATCCTCCCTTAAAATTAGTTTGAGGTGATTTTTACTTAAAAGTGCTTACAATTTGCTAAATTTTCTCGTTTTATTATTTTCTCTACGTCAATTTGAACCGGAGCTTTGATTTTTTGAAAATAGGTCAAATTTGACCTTTGACCTATTATAACTTGGTCAAAAATTAAGATATTGATCTGCATTTTGCGCCAAAATTCTTAGTTTTTAATGTTCTTTCCGATCTTCTAATTCCCCCGCCCCCCTCCCCTTGGGAGAGGGGCAACAATTTTGACTTGCCTTGCAGATGGTCTCCTTTGAGATAGAAACATTCCCGAAGTCTGTTTTTCTAACTCTAACCATTCAAAAGTTACCAGGGGGGGGGGGGGTTACGGAATTTTGGGACACCCTGTATTCTCACACCAATTTCATGATCTGTAGTGGATGTATTTGAATCAAACACATATATTGGCTTCATGTCATGTCCTTGTAAAATCTCTCACTCCCTCCATGAACCTAAGTTTTTTTTCCTTTCCTAATACGTAATATATTATTTGCAAATATTTTTTCATTGTTTTTATGTAGGTAACTAAAGCAAGTGCTCCTGTGAAAGATGAAAAGAAGAACCCCACCTTTGATTTACAGCGAAAAGATGCAATTCTAACCGCAACACGCTCGTCTCATCCCAAAAAAACCAACGTTGAAGAAAAGATGAAATCAGAAAAGAACGGAAAAAACTACAGAGATCAGTTTCAGAGACAAAATCATAATAAGGCTGAAACTGGATCACTTAGTCAACTGGGTCGAAAATCTGCCCCATCCAAACACACAACTGTCAATAGTAGGTCATCTGATAAAGATCCTAATGATTGCCCCTCCCGGTCTCAAAGTAATAATAATAACAGTTATCAATATCGAAAGATTTCTCCGAAACATAGCGCACCCAAAGAACCAATAAAAATTGCTCAGAAAGAACAGCCAGTGCAACCCAAGCATGATCCTATGGAAGAGGTTGCACAGATGAAATCTAGTTTTCATGAGTCTTCGCCTCCTATATCTAGTTTTCATGAACAGTTTTTACAGCCACCACCGAATTTCACCAATTGTCATCAGGAAACTGTGCAGTCCAATCCAAAAGGATTTTCCAAAAGTAGCTATCCAAAGAATCAATCAAATATAACAACATCTCTTGATGCTGTGACAGACTCTGCCACTTTTCCCATTCCAAGCCAGTCATTTACTGCTAGTAGTTTTTCTAATAACTTATCAAATCAGTCATTCAATCAAAATGACTATTACATTCAGAATTCTGTCTCATTAAGTGCAAAAAATGAGTTTGACTATACAAGCTTACCTTTGTCAAGTCAATCTGTCGTACCATTTCCTAATAGTCAGTACGCCTCAGATGTAAATCACATCCAAAACTATGGAAACCCCAGCTACTTTGAGCCATCCTTACAGCCGCCCTTACCAACTTTAAAGAAAAATGACTTTGCTGAAAATTGCATACCATCACAGGCTCTAGTCTTCTCCAGCAGTTCATTCTCTGATGGACGGACGCAGAATTCCATCCCGCGATATATACCAAGCTCGTATAATCCTATGAAAGGACCATATGGAAGAACTCAGTTCAGTGAACCACCCCCTAATACCTTCAATTCTCATACGTATAGAAGCAATACAGTAGATGGATCTTTACAAAACTGGATTCCACATGTTGAGACTGAAAATGAAATCCAGCCGTACCTGTATATGAAAACAAATTATAATGTGGTACCCAGTCAAAGTCCTCCGGTTCAGTTGGAATATGATAACCAGACTCAGGTCTATGGCAGGAGTAACTTCTGTGGTACAAATAATGATTCACAGAAACGTCAGAATGAATGTGCACCTTCATACCAAATTAATACTAATAACAGCAACGAATCGTTGCAGTATCGAGCTCGAAAATTTGATGATAATACTGTTCCTCAGCCATACACCTACAACAGAGGAAGTCATTTTTCTGAGGGAGCGTTTCATCGTAAGAACAATGATGAAGCCCACAGAGGATCTCAGAGGCAATATATCAGACCTCTATCCAAGGTGAGCAATTTCTATTGATGTTTGTACTTTCCCATATTTTTATCAAGTGCTCTAACAGAGACAAAATATTTTAGAGCCCCTCCACTGCTACCTATCTTCCCTATAGTGTATAAATTACTTTCGGAAGTCAACGCTCAGATTCATTTAATAATGATTGAGGAAGCGATTGATTTAGCAGTCCTTGCTTTAACAGCAAACACGTGCGTTTTAAGTGCTCACTGCGACATTTTATCAGTCATCTTTAGGCGAATTTTATTCCATTTTCTGCTCAAGGAGAATTGTTTCCAAAAGGGACCTTTGAGGTTAAAAAATCAACTTTACTCGTTACAATAAACTTTTGTGCACCAAATAGGAAAAATCTTCAATTTTATGAAATGAGTTCACTTTTCATAGAAGGCATGTTCAGACCAGTGATTTTCAAGGTTATGTTTGGAGTGATTTTTATTCACTAAACATTGCATCTTAAAGATTTACAGCCTAATGGAGTTACAGTTAAGTTCCTCAAAAATATCAGTAACAGCCCTCAAAGTGCAGGAAAGTTCAATTACATGCAATATTTTTCCTCATCTTGTGAAAATGTAACGTCTACAACAGAAAAGCTATCAAACTTGATGCCATTTAACGCAGGAGCCAGTTTAGAAGTTCATGCCTGGTGAACGATAGGACGTATTCTTCATCGATACTCAAGCAGTATCAGAACGTATTTAGATACTTCAGTTTTCATGTTACACAACGTCGAAAAAGTGTAATGTCTGCAATGCAGAGGACGTTACACAGCTCTAGTAAGAAATAATCTCACATTTAACTAGTTTGATAGGCTCCTATTATAAATGCAGGTTACTGTATGTTAGATAATAGGGAAAAAGAAGAGACAAATTACGACTAAAGATAGATAGACGAACTCGTTTGTTCGGGGATAGGAGCGGCCCACCACTACTGGGGCGGTTATCAACGCAACTGACAAAAACGACTTTGAAGATTCACAAACAGGAAAACAAGTTACAAATTAATTCAGGTCGATGCACTATATGAATTTAGATGAGTCAACATGCCTCCCTGATTTTTAGGAACTAAGAAATCAGATAATTATTTCATTACAAAATATTTAAAGTACATCCTACATGAATTTATGCTAGTTATATGCTACCTATCTACACCCCCCTTCCTGGCGCCAGGTTTACAAGCATATCATATCATAAATCTGCAGCAAATTATAATTAGGAAAGAGAGATTCTCGAGCATATACAAATTTGCTAAAATTACTACCGTCAGTTGGTCTAACATGAGCCGGTTTTTGACTTTGAGGCTTTGCATTTTTGCAGTCAATTTTTTTTTCATGCAATCAATTTTTGTTGTAGATCAGTCCCACATAGAAGAGTAAGAATACCCCATTGAAAAAATTTTCCAGCAAACTGGGTATTTTTTTTTTAAAAAAAATTGAGGTGGCTCATGTTACCTGCAAGGTGGGGTAACATGAGCCACCCTATTGTTTTTAATTTAAAGGCACATGTAAGCCTACTATAGGCTTACATGAGCCTCCCAAAAGTTTTTTAAAAAAAAAATTGAGTTACAAAACATTAAAAACCAGGCTAAAAACGTACAAAACTTTGATTTTCCTACAATTTACGTCAAATTTCAGGCGAACAAATACATTTAACATCTAAAACCTTGTATCTAACAGGAAATCATTTAACAATCAATAGCAATAAGTTACTTTAAAGGCACACCGACAAGACAAATGGGACCTAAAGTCAAGAGAGATCAGTCAAAGTTTCTTAAAAAGTATATATATAGTAGTATTTTGGGCTACGTTAGATTCACTTTTATTTATAGTAGTATATATATAAGTATAATATTGACTTTAATTTTAATTTTTGGAACTTTTTGGCTTTGTTTTCTCCGCAAAATGGTGTGGACTCAGCACCATTTCTCCACCTTGTTACATACAGTTCGGGCCACTTCTTAGTGTTTTTTTCTTTTTTTTTCTTATATAAGTATATATAGTATACAAGTCTTAAAAAGACGAACAGTAAATATGAAGGATACGTGAAGGAGTTGATTTATGCTCTAAAGGAATGCCAATTTTACTAAGAATGTATCATGAAAACCATTACTGTATAGATTGTTCCTGGAAGACTTGCGAAAATTGGGTGGCTCAAGTTACCTCCAACATTCCAAAATTTTGGTTTTTCCAAAAAAAATCGGTCAAAAACTAAAATGTTCAAAATCCAATGCATGGGCATGAAAGTTGGAGGTATTTGTGAGGTTCGGCGACCAGCGAAATTATTCTGTGATTATCGATAGTCACTTTTCAAGGAGGTTAGTTTCAGAGGTAGAAAAAGGGGCAAAAAATTCTAAAAACTAAATAATTTATAAAAATTTCTTATCGATGGAAAAATGTGTCTCTATACCATTGAAATTCCGCCAAGACACGCCACTATCACATCATGTTGTTGTTTTCGTTGTTTACTTTCGCGACAGTGCTGCCACAGGCAAGAGAAAAAAAAA